GGGGGGGAAGGGGAGGCTCAGGCCCGAGGACACAGACACCAGGCCAGGCCTGAGCCGTGGCTCCGATCAGCTGGGGGAAGAGACAGTGTGTCCTCAGGGGCCCCGGCGAGATGTCCATGGTGGCCTCAGGCCCGCCCGTTCGTTGGGTTGTTAGTGAAGCTACAGGAATAAGTACCCAGAAGGAGACATCTGGGCATGTAAAGGTCATGATCCTGGGCTTGTTTCTAAAAGGCAGAGTATACCCAGGGTGTGTATGTGTGACTGCTCATTGGCAACGGAGGTGGCTGGAGCGAGGGGAAAGGAAAGGGTTTAAAAACACGTGTATTTAGGATGCAGGTGGACTCCAGGCCCTGAGGTGAAGCAGTCCCCTCATCCCGTCTCTCTCGCTTTGCTTGTCGTTAACGTTAAATGTTAAAGAGATGGGCAGGGGCAGCCCGGAGGGGCCGATTTGCTGGCATCTTTGGGAAGGGCCGGTTCCCTCCCTTTACTCTGTGGGTGGAGAACACGGAGGCCCACAGAGAGGGTAAGAGATGTTTGTGGACTCAGCCGTCGCACCCGGGCTGGTCTGATTCTAAAACCCAGGCTCTTGTTCACCATATACCCCGCCAGCCGCGCTGCACTTCACGGTATCACACTGTGCCACTAAAGAGACCGTCAGGAAAGTGAAAAGACAACCTGTGGACCGGGAGCCAGTGTGCACAGATCACACGTCTGAGAAGGGACGTGCATCCAGAGCATATAAAGAACACTCGCCACTCAATCACAAAAGGACAAACAACCCAACTTAGCGTGGGGCCAAGGACCTGAACAGACGATTCTCCAGAGCAGATGGACAGAGGGCCCGTACGCAGGAGAGGTGTGCACCACCATCCGCCATTAGGAACATGCACATCACTCACACAGTGCACAGTGAGGCTCCGCTCCCGCCCCCCTGGGGCTGTGACAGGTTCCGCTCCTGGCCCCCCGGGGGGCTGTGACACGTTCCACTCCGGCCCCTCGGAGGCTGTGACAGGGATGCACAAGGTGATACCGTGTTGGTGGGGCGTGGAGAGCTTGGAACATGCAGGCACTGCCTGAGGGCGCAAAACAGGGCGTCGCTGCTTTAGAAAACATTTTGGCAGCTTCTCTAATGGTCGGACATAGAGTCACCTTCTGACCCAGCGATTCCACTCCTAGGTATACAACCAGGAGAAATGAAAACATGCCCTCCCCCCCACCCTCCCCCCCACACACACACACACAAACAATGAACCAGGCTGTTCATCGAGCATTACTTATAATCGCCAAAAAAGGGAAACCAGCGACGCCCAGCAGCTGAGTAGATAAAATATCATATATGGGAGCCATGGGACGGTATTTAATTATGAAGGGAATGGAGTGCCGACGTGCGCGATCACTGGGTGAAGTGGGGAGCGGGGCCCAGGAGGCCTCCGATTGGTGGCTCCATTTACATGAAATTTCAGAAAAGGCAACTCTGCAGAGACAGGAAACAGATTAGTGATGGCCTGGGGCTGGGAGTGACTGCTAATGGGCACGTGGCTGCTTTGCGGACAAGGAAAGTGTTCTAAAATTAGATCGTGGTGATGGTGACAGGGCTCCGTGCCTAGAACTGAAAGCCATCGGCGTGTGGGCTTTGAACTGTATGACACGTGAGTTGTATCTCCATGAGACCCTTTTCAAACAGGTTGCTGCAGAGGCCCAGAATCAGAGCTTAAAATGCCACCGATATAATACAAACGTGTGTTCCTTCAAGAAAGAGTCCCACATGCATATCTTTCATGGGAAACCATGAATATGTTATGGGAAAAGATTACACAATACACTTTTATGTCTCAGGGGAAAAGTATTCCTTGTGACCCAGGGGTTCTGTGGCCTCTCAGGAAATTAGCATGAATATGTGGACAGATTTGCCAGTGAAGATGTGCTTCGCGGTGCTGCCGAAAGCATCCGAACATGAGGAGCAAGGGCTAGCGCTCTGAACCCGTGCACTCTGAATGCGCCCCGTGTGCCACGCGAATCCTCTCCTTTCTTCACGACAACGGCCCTGGCGGAAGCTGTCAGCATCGCCACGCTCCCGACAGATGAAGGAAGAGCCCCAATCAAACAGCTACGCGTCGGAGCTGTGGTCTGCACCCCCGTCTGTCACCCGCCACGACCGGCAGGCGCTCCTGCCTGCGCCCCCTCCCTCGCAGCCAAAACACCAGATTGCACGCTGGCACTGGAAGCAGCACATTCACAGGTGTCAGCCGGGTGGCACTCACCAGGGGCTGTTAGGAAAGAGACAGGCTCACGCCCGTTCCAGCACTGGGCCTGCGGACTCACTGGCAAGGAAGGGCCTGGCCCCGCCTGGACATTTGTCGCAGAAACTGCCCCGTCCGGGTTGGGGTCAGTGACTTCTCCATGGAAGCCTGTGAGCGGCTCCCCTGGCAAACTCTGAGGTGTCCATCTCAAGTGAAAACATGCCCTTGTATCTGTGTGAGTGTGTCTGTCTGTGAGTGTGTGTGTCTGTCTGTGAGTGTATGTGTGTGTTCCTGTCTATAATTGTGTGTTCCTGAGTGTGTATCTGTGTGAGTGTGTCTATCTGTGAATGTGTGTGTCTGAGTGTGTGTTCCTGTGACTGGTGTGTTCCTGTCTGTAATTGTGTGTTCCTGAGTGTGTATCTGTGTGAGTGTGTCTGTCTGTGACTGTGTGTGTCTGAGTGTGTGTCTCTGTGTAAGTTTCTGGGTGTGCATCTGTGTGAGTGTGTGCTTCTGTTTGTGACTGTGTGTGTGTCTGTGACTGCATGTGTGACTACGTGTGTGTGTGACTGTGACTGCATGTGTGTGTCTGTGTGTGTCTGTGTGTCTGTGTGTGCTTGGACAGGGGCCTCACCGAGGTCACCCCAGCCGGTGGCTCACTGAGGTCAAGGCCGCTCGCATGTGCTGAGGCTCCGGGAGAAAAAGCAGTGCTCAGCAATTGTGGTCTCGCCCTGCACTATTTTTAAAGTTCAAAAAACACACAAAACGAACGGAAACTCATTGCCACTGAATAGCTAGGTCAGATTTAGATAAAGTACCGGCCCAGGGCCCAGGCTGCTGGCGTGACTGGGCAGGGTGACAGGACCGGCTCCTCTGAACCCACAGAGTCCCGTGAGCATCAAGGGCACCAACAGCAGCATCAACTCCTCCCCACCCCGGGCTGAGGACGCCCGCCCGCCCTGCCCCCTCACGGCAGCTGTGAGGCATGGTTATCACTCCCATCCAGATGAGGAGATGAGGCCCCCGGATGTCAGCCCCGCGCCCCTGCCCAGGGGTCCCCTCGTCCCTCGGTGGGGAACAGAGCTGGGGCTGGAACCCGGTCCTTCTGCCCCCAGGCCCCTGCTCTTGGTGGGGCTCGGCCCAGCACCCCTCCCCCAGCTCCCTGTCTCAAGTGCTTTCAAGTGGGGGCTGAGCCCACTGTTGGCTCTTTAACTACCGATTTTCCACGAAGAGAGAAGTTTTGTGTAGAAAGATCAATGAAAACAAAATGCTTGGCGAGGAAAGTTCTCTGAGCCGCCGTGCAGTATCCGCGAGCCCCCGCCTCTAACCACTTCCTCACACATCAGGAACCCTGGCTTTTTATAGCTGGGCCAGTGTAGAAAACACCAGAGGGCCCATCCCCAGTCCACAGCCCCCCAGCCCGCCTGCTCGGCGCCCCACCGCAGCCCAGCCGCGGACGGCCTGGTCAGCCCACAATTTAGAATGTGGGGCTTTGACCTGGAGTACTTTAAGCACATGGCCACGCACGTGTGTGTGCATAGGTATGTGTGTGCGTATGCGAGCATGTGTGCGCACATGTGTGTGTGTGTGTGCTCTCTTGTGTCAGAGCACACACAGTGATGCTCACAAAAGCCGGCCCCTGCTCGTTGGAAAGCTGAACCTGGGGGCCATCATCCTGCCACCGTGGGCACCACGGCTGGCCTCCCGGCCCGGGGCTGGCTGGGCATTTATGTCACTGCTGCCCGCGGGTTCCCACCATGAGCCCGCGATCCCCCTCGCTCACAGATGCTGGGCTCAGAGCCCCACTGCAGGCCCCAGCATGGGCAGCCTGCGCACACCTCACGGCGGCAGGAGCCTCCGCTTATCGGAATGGATTGAGAACAGGATGCTATGTGGGGGCCCAGCCCGTCTGGAGTCTGTAGACCAGGCTGCCAGCCCGGGTCTGAGCAGCTCAGAGCTCTGGGATCCGGTGTGGCCACGTCAGGGTCCACCCCCATGTGTCCTGCTCTCTTGGCTTGGGGTCCGATGGCCTGGCCTCACCTCTGACTCTGGCCACAAGGACCCCTTGGGAACTGACGGCGAAGTAGACATAACAGTGAGCACAGCGCCGGCCCCTCACATCCAGAACCGACTGTGTGCACGAAAGGCTTGGCCTTGGAGGCGGCCACCCCGTTCCCTGCCTGTGACCCCGATAAGTTGCCCGCCTCTCTGTGCCTGATTTCCTCCTGGAGCCCGGCTCCCACCCTCCGTTCTCAGAGAGGAGACGCTGCGGCACCTGGAGGCTTACAGGAGCCTGGCTGTGATTGGCCGGTTCTTTCACAGTGACTGCGTCCCCCCGGTCTCCTAGGTGGGCACCTAGTTTACACCCACGTCCCTCTCCCCTGAGCCGGAGGGCTTGCTTGCCAGGGAGCCCCGGAGGCGGTGGGACACGGAGCCCCTTTCGCAGACTCCCCTCCCCGGCTCGGATCTCGGTCCCTTGTCAGCCACCGTCAGCGCTTTGCCTCCACGTGCAGCCTTAGTTCACAGCGAGACGGAGGGCCACCCGGTCCAGCGTGCTCACCTCACAAATGGGGAAACTGAGGCGGAGGAGACATCCGCTCACGACCACACAGCATGTGGATGGCATATTGGTCCATCCCGACCTCCCGAATGCCCGTGGCACCTCCGGGCAGGGTCCTGGCCTCCTACTGTGCCCTCAGGTCTCGGGCTGAGCAGGAGGAGGGAGGGATGGAGCCGCTCAGCCCGTGTCTGCTCTCTCCCCAGGGTGGCTCCGCGCTCTCCCCTGCCGCCATCATCAGCCCGGAGAGGGCGCAGCAGCAGGCGGCTGCCTTGGCACAGGAGGTCGGCTGCCCCGCCTCGCCCACCCAGGAAATGACATCCTGCCTCCGCCAGAAGCCCGCCGACGCCCTCAACGACGCCCAGACCAAGGTGGGCATGTGTGTTCCAGTTGGGAAGGGACATTGTCCGAATGTTTACAAATGGAAACCCAGGCCAGGGAAGGAGACCTGGCCGGCCCGAGGCCACACGCTCCCGGCCCCCAGCGCTGCGCACAGAGGGTGCGGTGGGCCATGCATGGGTGCTGAGGGCAGCAGCTCCGGGTGCCTGGGAGCCTGTGTGTAAAGTGGGGGTAGCGGGTGGGCCCTGGAGGGTAGGAGATGATGGTGAGGTGATGTGAGTGAGGGTCTCGCTGGGCGGGGACCATGCTGAGGGTCAGGGTGCTGCTGCCACGGAGCTGGGCCCTGCCCCTGCGCCTTAGTCAGGCAGCTGGGTGCTCCCTTCTTCTGCCTGCAAGGACCTGGCCCCCGTCTCTCACTGGCCCTGCTGTGAGTGAAGGGGACGCCAGCAGGGACCACTGCTGTCATCTGAGCTGGTGGCCTGGTCCCTTCGGCAATCCGCCTGGACTGGCAACCGCCCTGGGGCCGGGCCTCAGGTCCCCGGTGGCAGCACATGGGAGCAGTGGAGCCCGCAGGTGGTCTGTGGGCCATGAGAGGTCCGAAAGGCTGGCGACCGCTGCACTGGAGGGTGGCTGAGGCTGACCCGTTTCCCTGTGACTTCCCGCCCCAGGCCACCGGCCCTGCCTCGATCACTCTGTCCTCCGCCCGGCTCACACCTGGGCGCAGGCTTACCCGGTCCTCCTGGGGTGTGGTCATCTCGGAGGGGGCTCTGGAAGCTCCCCTGGACCAGTCATCGCTCAGAGCCTGACCCACCTTCCAGCCCCTGCCACTGTCCCTGGTCGTTTTACTCTGATTTCCCGGTAAAGCCGCAGATGGGCCGCCGGCGCCACGTCCATGATGGTTTAGCGAAGCGACGCTGCTAGTTGTTTAGCCCCGTGTCCTTTAAAAAGAGTGAGCTCGGTCTAATCAGCGCCATTCCTCTGCACCCACCAGCTCCTGGCCGTGAGCGGCCCCTTCCACTACTGGGGCCCCGTGCTCGACGGCCAGTTCCTGCGAGAGGCTCCGGCCAGAGCGCTGCAGAGGGCGCCGCGGGCCACGGTCGACCTGCTCCTCGGGAGTTCACAGGACGACGGGCTCATCCGCCGGGCGAAGGCCGTGAAGGTAAGCAGGGTGGGGGTGGGGGGGCCTCAGAGGGCCCTGTGGGGTATGACACTGGCTCTGGTCCTCAGTGTCGGGCCTTGGTCAAGAGTCACTGACCGGCCCTGGCCAGTTTGGCTCAGTGGATAGAGCATTGGCCCATGGACTGAAGGGTCTGGATTTGATTCTAACTAAGGGCATGGACCTCAGTTGCAGGCTCGAGTCAGGGTGCGTGCAGGAGGCAACCAATCCGTGTGCCTCTCTCACATCGATGTGTCTCTCTCGCCACCCACCCCCCACTCTGTCTAAAAATCAATGGAAAAAATGTCCTTGGGTGAGGATTAACCAAAAAAAAATAGAGAATCATTGACTTACTTGCTCATTTACAAAACAATCGCTGACTAACTACTCTGTGTAAAGGCTCTCTAAGGAGTGTGGGGGTGGTTACAAGGTTGGGGTTCAGAAACAAGACACGTGCAGAACCGTGAGCAGCACAGCCACAGCTACAGCCACAGTCACAAATGGCTCCGGGAATGGATCCCCGTGGGAAATGGTGAGCACTGGCCAATCAGGGGCTCCGGGGCTCCAGGTCCCAGCCTGCGGACACCCTGTGCCATGAAGGATGCTCGGCCGCAGAGCGTAGGAGAGGAGAGGCAGCTGGATGGCAAAGGGGCGCTGTTCCCCAGTCCTGGCAGGGCACCCCCAAAGACAGCCTTCAAGCCAGTATTTTTAAACCCAGGAGAGCGGGGGCCTGGTGCCTGGCCATGCGGTTTCATGCGGCTCGGTGTGGACACAGCAGAGAGGGAAAAACTGTGAGCTCATTTATCGGCCTGAACACACTTCCTGCCCCGGCCGGGCCTCAGCTCCCCTCACTAGGATGCGGCTCATCCTGCAAGACGCCAAGCCCACCCTCCGGCCCACCCCGCCCTCCTCGTCACTGCTCTGGACAGGCCCTGGGCTGTCACCCCGGGAGGGGACCCCATGCCTGGCACACAGTGAGGACACACACGCCGGCCACGGGGCCCGTCTGCCTGGCTCTGTCGAATATAAGGCAGCAGAACTGGAAGGAGCAGCAACCACAAAATCGTTCATGCAAACGGGATCTCGCGTTCCCTTGCGCTGTCCTGTTCCCTTGGCTGCTGTCTCACCCCTTCAGCGAAGGAGCACCGCATGGACGGGAGAGACACACAGGGCACCTTATCGCGGGAGTTATTGCAGTGAAACATTGGAAGCAGCTCAAATGTCCATTAGCAGAGTGACGGCTGGATAAACGAAGGTGTCCGCGAGCCAGGAGAGGTTAATGGGGACGGAGAGAGGAGGAGCTCCCTCCCTCTCGCTGGCCCGAGGAAGGCCTGCAACGCGGGGTCCAATGGGATCAAGGGAGGTCACAGGGAAACTGAGCCACACAGCCCTAGCTGTGTGGCTCAGTGGATAGAGTGTCGGCCTGCAGACCGAAGGGTCCCGGGTTCCATTCTGATGAAGGCCACATGCCCTGGTTGTGGGCTGGATCCCCGGGTGGGGCGTGCAGGAGGCAGCCGATCCATGATTCTCTCGCACTATTGATGTTTCTATATCTCTCCCTCTCCCTTCCTCTCTGAAATCAATAAAAACGAGAACGTAGAGCAATGTGAAATGAAGGCAGCATTCACATTTTAAAAATAGCCGCCCCACCCTTGTGTGTAAAGACGGGAGTGTAACTTCACGTGAATTATGTGGAAGGATGATCGCGTGGAGAGACACAGCCACACCGTCAGCAGCGCGGAGAGTCACACATCGGCCTGGAACGGGCGTCACATCTGTTTTCCAGCTCCCAGGCCCGTTCGCCTATCACCCAGCACTCAGCGAGGCCACTTACTCCGTGCCAGGCCCCGGGCTCACAGTTCGGGTGTGAATACTAATGCCATCTGCCCTCAAGGAGCTCACAGTCAGGGGGGAGACCGAACATGGGGGAGGGGTCACTGTGATAGAGTTCCTCACACACTGTCTGGAGCGGTGAGACCACTGCAGGACGGTGAGGACGGTGGTGGGAGGCCGTCACTGCGCCCACAGGGCCCTGCCAGCCCCAGGGACAGAGATGAGGAATCCCCCAGGCCCTTGTCCCCACGCTGCCTGTCAGCAGAGTGGGGAGAGTGTCCTTGGATTGGAATCAGGAGCATCTGCGTTCCCTTAGAGCAGCGGTTCTCAACCTTCCTAAGGCCGCGGCCCTTTAATACAGTTCCTCATGTTGTGGTGACCCTTAACCATGAAATTATTTTCGTTGCTACTTCATCACTGTAATTTTGCTACTGTTATGAATCGTAAATATCTGATATGCAGGATGTATTTTCATTGTTACACATTGAACATAATTAAAGCATAGTGATAAATCACAAAAACAATATGTAATTATATATGTGTTTTCCGATGGTCTTAGGCGACCCCTGTGAAAGGGTCGTTCGACCCCCAAAGGGGTCGCGACCCACAGGTTGAGAACCACTGCCTTAGAGCCTGAGCCTCAGTTTCCCGATCTGTAACATGAGGAGATGACTAGTGGACACCCTCAATATTGAGAGGATTCAGAAATGCACCAGTGTCTGGCAAATAGGATGTGCTCAATAAATATTAGTTTTTGCACTTAAAATAGGATTTTATTATTTTTGTGTTTTTTTAGAGAGAGAAGAAGGGAGAGGGAGAGAGAGATAGAAACATCGGTGAGCGAGAAACATCAATTGGCTGCCTCATGCACGCCCCCTACTGGGATTTGAAGCCTGCAACCCAGGCATGTGCCCTGACCAGGAATCAAACCGGCGACCTCTGGTGCCTGGGCCGATGCCCAACCAGCTGAGCCACACCGGCCAGGCTCACTTAATCCTGTAACTGTGCTATTATTAATGTTGAAAACTATTGTCCCAGAACCAGACAATTATACAGAGAAAGCAAGAGGCATCACAGAACGTCCGATCACTGGGTGACCTTCCCTGACTGGAGACCGGTTTCCCAATTGTGGCAGACACACCCCCACATACATACACACACACACACACACACACACACACACGGGCACGCTTCTTCCTCATGCCGGCCCCGCATCAGTACCATCTGAGCCCAAACAACACACACACATGGTCCAGATTCCAGGGGGAAGTCCCAGGAGGGGCAGGAGCCCCCGCCCCAAGTGCAGCCCCGGGACCCACCTGTCACCTCAGCAGGGACCCACCAAACTCCGAAGACCAAAGAGGGCGGGTGAGGGGGGCGTCCGTCAAGTCTCTCAGGACCCTCACTCACCTGCCACCCCTCCCGGCGGAGACCCACCCAAGGAGCCCTATGTCACCACCCCCCTCCCCCGTGAAGCACATACCGTGAGCGTCAGGGCCGCCGAGACGCCAGGAGGCTCCGTCCTGGGCGCGTGAGCGTGTTTCCTGAAGTGGCAGCTCCCCGTTGGAAGTCTTCATCAGTCGCCCGGTGGGATTTCTCTCCCCTTCTCTCTCCACCTCCCTGACAGTGACACCGACAGTCTGCCTACGCTCCGGCCATTCATTTGCATGAGCAGAAGCACATTTGTTCCAAGACGCGATATGCCGCCTCCCCCTCCTAGCGCAGCATCTTCAAGGAAGGCAGGAAAAATCTGAAACGGCTGCCTCACCCAGAGCTCGGCCTGGGCCAGGAGCAGATGGAGAGGAGACTTGGGGGTGGGGGGGGGAGCGGTAAGCGGCACCTGGCAGCGTGCGATGCTGGCACGGGCCCCAGCAGGGCAGAATCCGGCCTCTGTGACAGATCCTAGCAGCCGACCAGGCAGGAGCCCAGGGAGCACACAGGTGTCCTGAAAAGAGGGGCTGATGTGCGGAATCCGTCCATCAGGGGGTGGGGGGCGGGGCCAGAGTCTGACCCAGCCCAGGACCTGAAGTCAGAAACTGGGTCTAAGTTCCTGCCTTCAGCCTGAGGATTTGGGCAAGCTGCTTAGCCAGAACTGCAGTTCCTGAGCCTTCACGTGGGCACAGTGCGGCCAGCCCCGCCCATCCCCACGCGGCCTGAGAGGGCGCCAGACCCAGGAGACAGTGCCCAGTGCTCAGGGGACCCTGCCCAGCCCCTGGCTCTGGGCTCTGCGAGCATACCCACCACAAGCCTGCAGCCAGGCCCTCAGAGAGGACCCTCCACACGCCCCCTCCCCTGATGAACCCCATGGCCCTGCGGATCAGTGGGATTGGCTTCTCCCCCAAATACATAGTTGTATTTATTATTCGCTGCCTTAACGAGGGCAGTGATTGTATCTACTATTTACTCAGCCATGTTTTCCACTGGGGGCGCTGGTAAAAGATGAGCATGAGCCAGGATGGGTTCTTTTTTTAATTTATCTTTAGTCAAAAGTATCACAGATGTCCCCTTTGGGTTTTTTTTCCCCCATTGACCCCCTCCTCTCCGCACCCGCCCCTCCGCAGGCTTTCACCGCCCTATTGTCTGTGTCCATGGCTTATGCGAATATGCATATATGTTCCCCAGTCAATCACTCTCCACTCACACCCCCACCCCCGCCTTCCCCCCGAGATCCCACAGTCTGTTCCCTGCTTCTATGTCTATGGATCTATTTTGTTCATCAGTTTATTTTGTTCATTAGCTTCCACATCTGAGTGAGACCCTGTGACACTTGTCTTTCTCTGGCTTATTTTGCTTAGCATCATTCTCTCCAGGTCCCTCCATGCTGTCCCCAAAGGTGAGAGATCCTTCTTTATTATGGAAAACACAGGCTGGATTCTTTACTCTAGTCCTTATTCATTCATTTAGTTCTGATTTTAAAAGAAATGGAAAGGAAAATATTTTCATGGGCCCCTAAAGTTGTGGGGGGCCCCAGGCACGGGCCCACTGTGCCTAATGGAGAAGGGGGCCTGTCCCTCAACACCCACAGCAAGTAGTAGGGACAGGAGTCGCCCACACATTCATTCATGCAAGCATCCCACGTACATTCATGCAGGGGCTCAGGGGGAAGGCCGTCACCCAGCAGATAAAGCTCCTGACTTGTGGAGTTTGTGTCCCAGGGAGAGAACAGTGCCGTGTAAGCAAATACAGAGGCTTTCAGGTCTCGGAAAAGTGCTCTGAAGAAAATGAACCAGTCACGGGCGAGGAAGTGATGCAAGGGAGGAAAGTCCTTTGTCAGGGAAGCCAGGGCGGTGACTGTGCTCTGAGGCCTGCATGATGAGGAGGGGCAGCTATGGGGCCAGCTATGTGAAGAGCCAGTGCAAAGGCCCTGGGGCAGGGATTGCCTGGGGGACAGAGGAGGCCAAGGGTTAGAAACCCAGGACAATGGAGGCAGTGGTGGGAGAGGAAGTCAGACGTGTCTGAGAGACATGTTGGATGGGCTATCATCGGACATCAGAAAAGTGATTTTATTCTACTTGCAGTGGGCCGATGTTGGAATGTTGTAAGCCAGGAAGTGATTATATTGACTTATCTTTTTAAATAAGAGCATTCTGGCAGCTCTGTGAAAAACTGACGCTGGAGGAGTGACAAAGGAAATAGATGCCAGATTACACTGCCGTGAGGTCCCAGGAGCGAGCGCATATGTTAAATAGGGGTGAGAGACAAGGTATCGGTGAGAAATAACCAGATTTGGGGCGTGCGTTGGCTTGGCCGTTGGGCATATGGCTTGGGAGTCCAGGAGAGAACGCCTGTGGGCACAGGTCTGGAGTGAAGCCAGGAAAATTCGATGTCACCAAAGCCAAGGAGAAAAGCTTCCGAAAGGAAGCCGCGGTCAAGCACCGGATGTCACTGAGAGCAGAGGGTGATGAGGACAGCGATCGGCTGCTGGACCTGACGGTGCCATCCTGCGTGGCCTGGCTGAGGGCCATTGCAGCTGAGTGACGGGCAGGGACGCTGAGCAGTGAGGGCTGCGGGGACAGCAAGAGCGAGGAGGTAGGCCCTGCGCTTCCAGAACCACGCTTTCTCCACTGCGCCATTGCCTCACGGACGCAGACGCCCACCGGCGCTCAGGGGCACTCTGTCCTGGCAGCTGCAAACCACGGAGGACCCTCCTCCTGGCCTCTCCCGAAGCCACGCCAGCCGCCCAGCCATCCCCTCCCTCGCCATCCACACCTGACGGGCTAGTTAGTCCTTCTCGCCGCCGAACATTCTCTGCTGCAAAGATGTGTCAGACGTGGTCCATCCCCAGCTCCACTCGAAGCCCCCAAGGGCAGAGAACTTAGCCCGTCCTGTCCCCCGCTGCGTCCCAAATGCCCTGCCACCTGTCCGCACTCCGTAGACACTTGTCGGAGGAGCAGTGAATGCTCCGCAGCTCACCAGGATGCGCTGAGAGTGTCGGCCGGGGGCTTGCAGCCTGATCATATCCCCTCCTCCCGTTCTAACCGCAGCCCGGCCTGCTTGGAGATGTCCACAGACACAGCCACACATGCCAGCGTGTCCTGATAAGGCCATTCCGCTGTAGACACAGAAGCCTGGAAATATGTAAACACACATCCTAGGACCAGACGGGGGCCAAGGGGCCTGGGCCGCACACTCACAGCTGTGCCCCTGATGTTCTGCCGCTTCCTCTTCAGAAATGAGGACACTGAGTCCTGGGCAGGGGGTTGGGGGGGATGGTCCTCCCCAAGTTCCCCCAGTGCAGATGGGAGGGAGGGACATGGGGACGAGAAAGGGAGGCAGAAAGAAAGAGAAGGGGCGAAAGGAGATGGAGAGGGAGCAGGAGAGATGGGGCAAGGAGGGACAGGGGAGGGAGGGAGGAGAGGAAGGGGATTCCCATGTGGACACATGTCCCCCGAGAGCCACCTGGCTCCCCCGACCGTCCTATGTAAAATGGCCCTGCCCTGTGGCTCCCACACTGCAGTTTCTCATCACTGCGCCTGTCCCTGCTGAGCTGCACAGTTATTTGCTTATTTTCCGTCTCCACCCACCAAAACACGGGCCCACGGGCACGGGGAGCCGGTTTTCCAAGGCCGGGCCGCCGTGTCCCTGTGAAAGCGCAGGCAGCCATCCTGCCGCCTGACTGAGGCCGTGGCTGAGCCCGGCGTTAGCTGTCCCACAGCCCCAGGCGACACGGCAGTCCCGGGAGGGAGAGGCACAGGTGCAACTGTGTCAGCTCGAGATGCAGTCTCACTCCCTGCGGGCCAGGCACCGAGTGATGGCCCCACGGCACGGACCGGTGGTCCTCACACCCCCTGCGCGGGGGCCCCCACCTGCCCATCCGGGTGTGGGAGGAGGCACGGAGGGCAGCCCATTGCTCACGATCACACAGCTGGAAGGAGCGGAGCTGGATCCGCACCCAGCAGCCTGAGCCAGCACCCGTGGGCAGGACACCTCGTCCCCCTGCTTCCCAGAGAGAGAATTCCAGAGAAGGTTCTGAGCAATACCTGCAGAATCTGACTGGGGAATGAATTTTCCTCTCTCTCTCTCTCTCTCCCTCCCTCGCTCCCTCCCTCCCTCTCAGCAATTTGAGGAAAGTCAAGGCCGGACCAGTAGCAAAACAGCCTTCTACCGGGCGCTGCAGAACTCGCTGGGCGGTGAGGACTCAGACCCGGGTGTGCTGGCCGCCGCCACGTGGTACTACTCCCTGGAGCACTCCGCTGACGACTACGCCACCTTCTCCCGGGCCCTGGAGAACGCTACCCGGTAAGACCGGGCACACGGTTCCTGCCACCGCGGCCCCTGGTGCCAGGGATGCCCAGGGCATGAGAGGGACTGAGGCTTGGACCCGGTGCTGTGCTGTCCTTCGCGTCATCCGGTCAGTCCCCAGCGGGGTGCCTGCCTGCCAGGGGCTAGTGAAACGCTGACGGAGAGAGAGTCGGGCCCAGCCCAGCAGGGCGGACTCCAGTCTTCCCTTAGTTCGTACCTTCCTTCTCTCCCAGCCAGACTCAGGCACTGGCCTCCGTGGGCCTCCCCGCCTCCGGTCTCAATGGCAGTTTCTCCCCACAGCGCGGCTCTCATCTCTGTCCCGCCCACCACTCTTCCAGGGGGACCGTGGGATGAAGCACAGGGCCTTCACCTGCCCTTCCAGAACCTCACCCCAGGCCCCTCCCTCAGAGCCTTCCCTGCAAACACTGGAGCTGCCTGGACACCGGCTGGCGGGGAGGTTACCTCCTCACTGAGGGACTCTCATGGGTGTCAGACTGTTGTTACAGCATTTCTGCAGGGTGGGCCCCTGGGCCCATTTCTCAGCTGAGGCGATGGAGAGTCAGGAGTTGCAGGGAGGGCTGAGTGGGATTCAAACCCTGGTGGCTCAGGCCAGCTGCTGCGGTGGCCCGGTTCTAGCCAGGCCAGCCCCTTCCCAGCTCCCAGCCCTGCACTGCCCCACGCAGGGCCCACTGTGGCCAGTGCGGACTTCTGAAATACATTCCCATCACCCCAAAGGGGAGCAGGTGTGAACCATGTCCACCTCCTCACTGCTGACATTTGGACTAGAACAGTGGTTCTAAACCTTCTGGCCCTTTAATACAGTTCCTCATGTTGTGACCCAACCATAACATTATTTTCGTTGCTACTTCATAACTGTCATGTTGCTACTGTTATGAATTGTAATGTAAATATCTGATATGCAGGATGGTCTTAGGCGACCCCTGTGAAAGGGTCGTTCGACCGCCAAAGGGGTCGCGACCCACAGGTTGAGAACTGCTGGACTAGAACATTCTTTCTGGGGAGGGCTGTCCTCTGTATCGGAGGATGTTTATTTTAGCAGCATTCCTGGCCTTGACCTACTAGATGCCAGTAGAAACCTTTCCACCTCCAGCTGTGACCACCAAAAAAGTCCCCAAACGCTGCTAAATGTCTCTGGGGGTGGGGGAGGGGTATCTCGGCGAGAGCCTCGGGTCCAAGGAATCCTGGGCACGAAGCACCCTGAGCTCTGTCCTTTAAAACGCGCAGCGCTTTTCTGTTCTGCTCCATCGGCTGCTGTATGTATTTGTTTTATCATAAAATGTTTTGCTCCCAAATCAGTAAGTGATATTGCTGCTCTGAGAAGAAGTTTGTCTACAAGTCTCCTGATCCTAAGATGCTTCCCCGTGGACACCAGCGTGTGATCACGGCGGCCATAAAGCAGACTGGCCCATGTGCTCTCTGCAGGCCTGTGCGAGGGGCTTGGTGGCCGAGGGACCGTGCCTGGGAAAAGCCTGGGCCCGGCACAGTTGTCACAGGCCCTCCTCTGTCCTCCTTCCTCCAGGGACTACTTCATCATCTGCCCCGTGATCGACATGGCCCGCCACTGGGTGAGGAGGGCCCGCGGAAATGTGTTCCTGTACCACGCTCCCCAGAGCTACGGCCACGGCAGGTAAGGGCGCTGCGTGGCCACAGTGGGTGTTGGCAAATGGAGGGAGTCTGACGGCAGAGAAAAGAGGGCGGGACTGAGCAACAAGTCCTGACTCAATGACCGGGGACTCATCCCTTCACCTCTGTGGGCCTCAGTTTCATCATCTGAAAAATGGGTTTAAGAGCAGCAGCCCCTTTAGTTCACGGTACTGCAGGAAGGGAAAGTCAAAGAAAAGATACAGGAAGTGCCTTGGAATTGCAGTGTTAGCTGTTGCTGGGGAGGAAGCCTTCATCCCACATGTCTATGGCTCTGAAAACAGCAGGTGAGGCAACCACCTCATTTGACAGGTGGGGTGCGAGTCCATTCTATTCTAGTTCAAAGGCTCCTTGGGGCTCAGTGTTGCCATCTGCAAAATGGGAGTGGACGGGTGGGAGAGGCCACGTGCAGTGACCCTTCACTGGGCTCTGTGGGACCCTGCACCCAGGGCCCAGGAGGAGGAGAGCGAGGTGGAGGGCCCGAGCTCCCGGCCCCTGGCTCGCTGTCTCACACTGAGACTAGTGGAAACGTCAAGGTTATGCCGTTTAGAGAGGCGTAAAAGGCAGTGCACTCGGTCACCTTTAAGGTGCGGTCCACCTCTCAGTTCCTATCATTTTGGGGGGCAAGAGGCAGAGATGGTGGTCGTGGACAGAGGCGCAAAGTATCCTGATTAGAGAAGTGCCTCTGGGGTGATCACCGTGGCTAGAAACCCGCTCTGAGTCTTATTAGCTCGGTGACCTAAGCAAGTCACTCAACCTCCTCGGTGACTCAGTTTCTTCATCTGAAAAATAGGGGTAGGCGTGGGACTACCTGCTTCAGAGGGTTCCCGTGGTGATGAGTGAGTGTAGCCCACGGGCCCAGTGAACTGTAAGTGCTACGTGTCCCGTTAATTCTTGTCCATCAGGGCGCATCCCTGGCAGCACTCGTGCCTGTGTCTTCTCGCCCCACCACCGTCTGGTGGCTGCCATCTCTGTAGTAGACGCTGAATCAATGAATGAATCACAAAAACTGATTTGTTGGCACGTTTCTCTCGCGCTGCCCTGGAGCTGTCGGCCCTCTCATTTGTTCCTGGCTCGGACCCACAAACTTAAAATAGATGTGTGCGCCTTACGTGTTCAGCCATCTGTCTCGTGCCTCTGTTCCGTGAGCATACATGAGCTCTCCTGGCATCGCCAGTGAACAAAGCCCAGTAAATCCCCGCCTTCTCCCTGACCGCCGTTAATGCCTCACAGACCAGCGTGGCTCAGGGACGGCTCACCTGCGTTATAGATGGGATTTTTGTCCCTGAAATTGAGGGACAAACTCTGTGAGGAAGGACCTGACTCTTTTGAATGGGTAGGGCTCTTGGGATTAAAAATCTACCCAGGCTCCACACAGGATGGGGGACCACTCTTTCATTTTGGGAGAAGTGGCTCAATACAGTGGAAGAACACCTTTTTTTGAGGTCAATTCCATCTTTTCCTCTGAGGAGTTCTCTTCATTTGAGCAGGTTCCTGTACCTCAACTTCCTTACCCATGAAATGGGTACAGTCACACCTGGGAAGGTTCAAATCAGTGGGCATTAAACACCTGGCACATCGTAGCTGCTCGTTATTGGTTATTTTCTCTTTAGGAAAAATAAGGTTCTGAGAAGAAGGGGAAAAAAAAACTTAAAATGACTAAAGACACAGCAATGTTCCAATCTTTATAAGTTGTCTCAACCCTGGAAAACAAAGCCGTAAATTCTAGACTGAAGACATTCTGTACACCACCTTCCAGACAGCTCTGTGCATTCCGGGGGCTTTAACATTTCACATTCCAAATATTATCTTTCTAGTTGACAGTTTTGGCGAGTTCGTTGGAATTGGTGGCTGGATAATGGCTGGATTCTTGACTTGGGGCCACTGCTCTGGCTATCAGTACATCCTGTGTGATTAATGACATTACTTCCCAGTGAAGATGGAAGTGAGTCACTTTCTGAAACTGACCACTCGGGTTTCGTGCCGTCGAACAGCTTGTGGTGTGCATTCTCTTCGATCCTGATTCGTCGAATAGTTACCTTCTGTGTTCTATGCCCCAGGCCCTCTTCTAAATCCTAGAGATGGAGCAGTCCGGAAGCCTCTTGGAACTAGCACTGTAGTCAGGGGGTGGGGTTGATGAGTGTCCAGGGACAGGGTGCAAAGAACAGACAACACACACAGAAAAAAGCAGCGTAAATTTGGATAATTACCCTGGGAAGGGGAAAGGGAAAAGGCGTGGCATGTTTGAGGATGACGAAGGAGGCCAGGAGCTGGGGTGTATTGAAGAGAAGGAAAGTGGTTGGAGATTCAGGGGGGAAAAAGACAGGGTTTTGCAGTTCACATAGGAGTTGGTAAACAGTGGTAGGCCAAAAGGTAGTATTTCATCTGAATATGGTGGGAAGGCATTGGAGATTTTTTAAGAAGACATGGTTTTCAGAATGCCCACTGGTCTTTTCTTTCACATTCGAAACACAGCTCTCTAAAAGCCAACTTTAAGAAAAAATAGAACCTAGACTAGAAACCCGGTTTTCCCCTGCAATGATCAGTTAGTTAATTGGAAAATCCAATTAAAATGGGGACTCCTGGTCTGTGGGTGAGATAGGTCTATGCCGCCCCCAATTCATTTTAATTCTATGCCTGTACATGCGTCCGTCGGCACGGTTTCAGCGCAGGGTGACAGGCCGGGCGGCGGTGCCGCGTGGAGCCCTCCCTTTGAATTGCTCACGAAGCCGTACACCCAGGGCTTGCTCTACGCCTGCTGCTGGGCTTTCTTGGAAGTGGGGCCTCCGCCGGCTACGGGATTGAGCTCTGTGATGCCCACAACACACAACGGGCATAAGCAGGTCAGAGGCTTGCACGGGGCTCTGGGTACACGGAGCTCCCTGGGGCGAGTCGGAGCTTCCGGCCAGGAGAGCCCAGCCCCTCTGAGCAGCAGCTGTGTGTCGGGACTGAAAGGCGCGGTGGGCCCAGCGAGTCCACAGGAGCGTCCACGGCGCAGCCAGACGTCAGCCACCGGCTGTGCTGGGCCGCAGGGAGCTATGGGAGTGCTGCGCGTGGGTCCCTTGGCGCCGGGGGTGGCATTGTGTTATTTAAAGTGAATTGGGTGTTCATTTAAAAAATAATTTTTTTGGTTAATCCTCACCCAAGGATATTTTTTCCATTGATTTTTAGAGAGTGGAGGGGAGGGGGAGTGACACAGAGAGAGAAACATCGATGTGAGAGAGACACACAGATTGGTTGCCTCCCGCACGTGCCCTGACCAGGGCCTCAGATCGAACCTCTAAGATACATGCCGTTGAGCAGACTCGAACCCAGGACCCTTCAGTCTGAGGGCCGGCGCTCTATCCACTGAGCCAAACTGGCTGGGGCTGGGAGCGCACTGTTTAAAGAATTGGGTGATGAATTCTTTTGTGGAACAGAAACCGTTGTCCATTCACCTGTGGGCAGAAAGTGAACTTGTGTGAGTTACATGCGTCCAGAGAGGCACACGCACAGCCTCTGTGTGCCAGCGACCTGGCAAAGCCTCAGCCCTCGAAAAAACCGTGTGGGAAGGGGCGGGTTTTCGTTCCTCCTGCTGCCCCAGTTCCCTCTGGAGGAAGCCATCCAGCGTTGCCAGCGAGAGATAAGGGGGAGCATAGTTTATGGGGATGAGGTCAATGAACTTCCTCCCACGGACAGAACAACAGGGGCAGAAATCTCCGAGCAACAGGCTCTCAAGTCAGTCCACCCAGATGGGCCGAGCGTGGGGCCTCTGCAGCATGAACCTCGGATCCATCATCCTTACAGGAGCCACCTCCCTGATGCAAGGAAGATCCCACCCACTCTCTCTGCTCACCGCCGGGGCCTGGCTCATTCCCCGTCCCAGCTCAGGTCCTTGTCGGCCAAGGTCAGGGGCCTTCCTCCCGTGACGCCATCTCATCACTGTGCTGCCTAATGAGCCCCATGTCCGTGAAGGAGGGTCCCTCGTGTGGGAAGTGAAGGGACTGGAGCTGCTTGCTGACTGTGTCGGCTCTGAAGTGTGGCCGTGGCCCTGGACTTGCTGGACTGCGGCTTGGGCTTCCCCGCAAGCCCCCACCAGCGCGATCCAGGGTGGTGGGCTGGCCGAGAGGGGAGGTGGGGGCGTCACGTGAAAAGCCAGCCCCTGTCTCTGCTGGACAGCTCAGCCGCCCTGGGACCTGCCGTGTCGGACCTTCACGCTGCCACCGCCCAGGGCCGGTCTTCACGGAAAGGCAGCTTGCAATGGCTGCTTAGAAACGGCCGGCGTCGCCCCCCCTTTAGACGTGGCTCTCGGCGCCTCTGGTCTCGGTTCTCACACCTTCCGCAGAGCCAGGGCCTGAGGAACTGCTGGCCCGGAGCCAGCAAGTAGCTCTGTGGTTCTGACGCTTTGGGTTGCCCTGGACCGGGAAATCCCAGCCTCGCTCAGTAGCGTGAAGCACTTCTCGGTACAATTCACGAGGCCCAGAGGGTCGGGGACGTGGTTCCCCGTCATAGCAGCTGCCACGCCCCCACCCAGTCTCACCCCCGTCCCCTCCTCCACAGAAAGCACACTCCACGCCATCACACGTGCTGAGTCTCAGCCCCAAACACCCCTCCCCACTCCCACTCGGGCTCACCCAGTCCTCTCCCAAGCCCACGTCAGCGTGGTTTCCTCTCTGACGTGGCACAAGCTGCCCTCCATGTCCTTGTCCAGACCAGCAGCCGCTTTCTCCTCCTCCGTGCACTTTGTAAACATTTCTATCCTTCGACGTCTGTCTGCCTGTCTATCATTAGTTCAAGCATTTTATTTTTTTGTGTTGACATCTTTGCATTTCCTGTTGGACCGCGAGCCCCATGCCAGCATGGCCGACTTCTCCCTCTCTTACCCCAGCACCCATTCGGGGTGCGGCCCAGGAGCAGTCAGCAAGGGTGGCTGGAGGACCGGCTCGTCCTGACCTCCTGTTTGCCACCGTCCTCTGAACTATATTCACATCCAGAAACAGCACACAGCGTCCCTCAGGCGGCATGGCTGTGTGTTTCCCACAATCCAGGTGCCCAACCCAATGTCACGGGTCCTTTAGAGGAGAAGGGGGGGCAGAGGGGAAAGCCGGACAGAGGGGCGTGCAGAGGCCGTGACTCATTGTTGCTGGCTTTGAGGACAGAGGAAGGGGACCGTGGATGGTGGGCGCTGGGCACTAAGAATGGCCTTCGGGTCGCAGCCAATGGCTGTGCCACAGATCTGTCCCAGGGGCCATGGACAGAAGGCCCATCAGCGGTACCGGCACCGCATAGCAGCCTCAACATAACAAGAGCACCGTCTTCATGGGGGAGGGACTCTGGTTGGGGCTCCTTGGATTTCTCAGCCGTGCACTGTTCCTTTAACTCCTGCTTCTCTGCCTCCCGTGCTCCTTCAGCCTGGAACTGCTGACCGACGCCCAGTATGCCTTCGGGCTGCCCTTCCACCCTGCCTACGGGGGGCAGTTCACTCCGGAGGAGAAGCGCACAGCGCTGAAAGTCATGCAGTACTTCTCCAACTTCATCCGATCCGGGTGAGTAGGCCGGGGGCCGTCGCTGTGCACCCTGCCCCTCCAAACCCAGGGGCCGCGTGATGGACCTGCAGGTGGCAGACCAGTGTGCTCGCTCTAGGCCCCCTCCCACCAGGCCCTGGACCCACAAAGGCATCCCAGAGACTAGCAAGGAGGTTCCGATAAAAGGACACCAGCACAGAGAGGCACGCAGCCTCCTGAGCGTCCAGACCCCCAGAAAGGCCGCGCTGCTGTTGCTGGGTCCTGAGCTCACATCTCCCTCCCCTAGAAACGGCCTGGGTGGAGTCGGGGCCTTCCCACCTGTAAGCATTTGGGGTGCAGCCGTTAAGGCCACTCGGACGCCTAAGGATGAGTGAGTGGGTGGGTCCTCGGAGACCAGGTGCGAGCGGAAGTGATCCCAAGGGATGAAAGGAAAGACGAGGCTCCCTCAAGCGTGTGCCTGCTTCTCCTTCCCCAGGAATCCCAACTACCCGCACGAGTTCTCACGGAAAGGGCCTGAATTCGCAGTCCCCTGGCCCAACTTCGTCCCTGGCGCCAACGGGGAGAGCTACAAGGAGTTCAGCACCCAGCTCCCCAATCGACAGGGCCTGAAAAAGGCCGACTGCTCCTTCTGGTCCAAGTATATCCGGTCCCTGAAGGCGCCTGCAGGTAGGGAGCCTGGAGCCGGAGGGCCAGGGGGAGGGCGGGCGCTCATGTTTCTTCCCATTTATTCTCCCGAAATCTCTCTGCCAAGGGCCTCCTGTTCCGTGGGGGCAGGAGAGGGAAGTGAGAGATAGAACACTGGGGGTGGGGGTGGGAGGGCTGTGGGACAGTTGAACGGGGAGAGGAGGTAGGACCTGGACCCTCAGCCTCGCTGCCCTTGGGAGACTGGTCAAACGTCTTGGAGAGTGAATTCTGGCCAGGGGAGAGGCGGGCATTCTTCCTCTTTCTGTTGCAATGGACTTCCTGTTGAAGAGTACTTCCTGTAGAAGAGCACTTCCTGTTGAAGAGCACTTCCTGTAGAAGAGATGTTACGGAGACGATGAAAGGATCCGTCATAAGGGCGCTAGGAATATCAAGATAAATGCGATGCCCTAAAAAGCTTCTGGGAGTGACGTGACCCAGGGGAAGTCCTTCAGCTTCCTGGTGCATGCTGGGAGCTGCAGGAAGCCAGGGGTGGCAGGGCCTCCCAGGGCAGGTGGTGCTGGGCTGAGCTTTGCAGAATGATGAGAGGTCTTCACGGGGAGTCCAATGAGAGTGGAGCATTCAGCAGGGAAGTGACCTCGTCCGACATGTTCTAGACTCTCAATCCCACTTTTACCTTCTAAGACCCAGAAGCTCTCTGGTGATGACCCCGAGTCCTGTCCTGCCAGTCGCATGTCCCTGCTGCCAGGCGATCTGAAAAGGCCCCCTGCAGAGCATTCCTGGGGAAGGAACGCCCCTCAGAGCCCGGGGTCTCTTCCAGTCAACAAGAGTGAGGGAGGGAGGAGAAGTCGGGTCAGGATCGCACCAGCCTTGCCCTCATGTTTCAGATGAAGCCAAGGATGGGCTGTCAGCAGGGAGTGAAGAGGAGGAGCAGCCGGCTGGCTCTGGCCTGAAAGAAGACCTCCCAGATCCAGGCTCCAAGAGCTACAGCAAGTGACCAATCCCAAGACTTCCACCCACCCTGCTAACTACCTCCCCTCCCCCTCCCGCCCCCAGGCTGCCACCTTGTTCTCTGAAATCGGCCCTGGCTTTCAATAAAGTGTCAACATGCAGTGAAACAGCGGTGACTCTGATGTGTTCCCTCAAAACTGCCCTTGGGAGATGCCGAGCTATGGATTCATCTTCTCATCTTATGCGTCTGACTGAGTTCTGAGCCCCAGGCTGCTGTTTCCTCCCGTCAAATGGTTGCGCAGCATCCTCTGTGCGCCAGGCTCTGTGCTGGAGGCTGAGGAGGGGAGAGCCCTGCCCTCTCTTGGGAGACGGGGGCAGGCGAACAGAAGTGACACAGGATCTGGGGACCCATGGAGGGCAGGCCCCAGAGTCCGACCTACGTGTTAGAAAGGATTCTCTCGTGAAGGTGCTAGGAAGGAGGTAGGAGGCCAGCAAGGCCAGTAGGGGGCTCAGAGCCGGAAGGAACGCCAGCCGGCCAGGTGCAGAGTCCGGGGTCAAAGGCAGATGCGCCCTCCACCGACTCTCAGCCAAACTCCTCCCACCGGGGCCCCCGGGGCCACAGCGCCCGCGAACCTGGCGGAAGGAACGCCAGCCGGCCAGGTGCAGAGTCCGGGGTCAAAGGCAGATGCGCCCTCCACCGACTCTCAGCCAAACTCCTCCCACCGGGGCCCCCCGGGGCCACAGCGCCCGCGAGCCCGGGACCTCCCGTGTCCCTACGACACTCGTGCAGTTGGTTTTCTTCCCTGTCCCAAAGGTAAACACGCGGGGCTTCAGCAAGGCCCGAGGGCCTGGCGAAGGTCACGGTCAGGAGCACAGGGAGCAATGGCGCCCGAGGCCGCGCTGGCAGGTCCGGGCCGGGTTGCCCTTGTCTGGGCCACGTTGGTGCAGACACGTTTGTGCAGACGCGTGGACTGGTGTCTGCGGTCACACCGATGCCTCCTGGGCTCCTGCTCTTCTGTCTGCTGAGGGTGGGGAGGTGGCTTCTCCTTAGACGGTCTGTTTGCTCCTTTTCCACCCAGAACATCCTCCCAGCTCTTCCATGGTAGCCCCAGCTTCTCAGTCAGACCGACAGGTGGTATCTACTCATTGTGGGGGTGGGGGGGGTCGGGGAGCCTACTTTCTCTTCTGGCGCCGAAATCTCTG